TTTCTTTACTTTTCCTTTTCCTTTTGGCCTTCCCGTTTGTCACCACTAGTACTTGCACTAGTGGTGCTAATATTCTTGGCCGTCAAGATGTCGATCTTGACGGTGCACCTTGCATTTATTATTTTTCCCTCATGTGGTGCCGCCGTTTCTTCTTGGGACTTTCACATGTCCCCGCCACTCATCCCGTCGATGGTCCCCGACACTTAGTCCCGTCAGTGGTCCCCGATACTTGGTCCCGCCGGTGGTCCCCGACACATTTCGCCCCGGATGCCATTATTTTTACTTGGTCTCATGTGGCCCCGGGTGCCTTTCCCCGGGGTGTCCCATGCCCCTTGGGCATCTTGTCGCCCCATAGCGACCCCTCTCCTTAGTCTTTCCTCGCGCCTTGTGCGTGCCGATCTCTTTGGTCGTGGGCCTCAGCTCCGAGGCTCCCGTAGGTGGCCCCCATGTTGACCCCTCATTTCCTGGCTTCCCGCGGCTTCTGGTCGCCCATCTCTCGACTTCCTCATTCTCTTATTGTTGTCGCTCTGCAATTGCTAGTTCAAAGGACCCTTTGGTCTTAGTCTTATTGCATTCGATGACCCTCCCGACCGCCTGCTATGTTCTATCTGTCCTTGTTCTTGCGCTCGCTTGCTTGCCGTCGCTAGTTCTTTCCTCCTGTGGTTCTCTCCTCAGGGCATCACTCCCTTCTGCAGCCTAATCCTTTGTCTTTTCTCTCTCCTGCTTCCTCACTCCAGATTTCTCTGTTGTGCACAAATTGTCCGTATTCAATCTCTCGAGTGATGGGAAGTTATTCGGGACCCACCAGTCCCGACACCGTCCAAGAGGCTGCTCTTGCCAATGCCGAAACGTGCCAGACCTTGGTGTTGAAGCTCAACCAGGGGTTGTCTTGAAAACAGGCCCGAAATGGCCTGTGCTAAAACCATGGTTTGTTGCCTGAGGTTCAGGGCGGGTCAAACTGATGAGGGTGTGAAAATGGCCCTCAGTTTCAGGCTGAAAACACTCGGGGCCGGAAAGGCCCTGATTTAGCCTGAAACGACACAGGGCCTGTAGACCCTTGTTTTCAGGCTTTCAGGGCTATAACGACACGGGGCCTGTAGGCCTTTGTTTTCAGGCTTTTGGCCTGAAAGCGTCACGGGCCTGAAAGGGGCCCGTGCAGCCTGTTGCGGGCGCAACATATAACACTCCCCCCTCCTTATGAAGTCAAGTCGGGGCGAGGGCAAAGTTGACGATCTGAAGGTGGAACGTGGATGCGGGTGAGACGTGAAGCCGAAGATACCGGCTTGCCTTGCATCTTGAATTCGTAGCATGCGAGAACATCTGGGCCCTCACGAGTCAACCAACGGTCAGCTCTGTGGCTGCAGTACGCAAAGTATACCAAGTACTCGGTTGGCCTGTTGCCGTAGCGCCGCTAGGAGATGATGTCGCCGACCTCTTGAAAACCGTCCATAGAGGGTGGGTCTTGCCATCGTCACCCGGGAAAATCGTCATGTTCCGCTGGCGTGTAAGGAGCCTACTTGGAGCAATGAAAGACCGGGTAAACGAGCAAGTGGGCGGACACCTGAATGGTGAAGGAAAGTCCCTCGGGTGCATCCCCAGCGGGTGCCACGATTGGCCAAGACCTCATCCATTTCGGGAGGAGTTTGCGAGAGATATCTTGTTCAAGGCTGAATTCCGAGGTGGAAACCCAAACGAGACCGTCGACGCGAAATGGGCAAGGAAGACGCTGGCGATTGGCCTGTTGGCTCATGCGTTGCTCCGTCTTGGCCATCTGATCGCGTGCCTTGACAAGTAGCTCTTGCATCCGACGCAAGAAAAGAAGATGGTCGTCGCTCTCGACCGTTCGTGGAATGATTGTGTCCAACGGCGAAGTGGCCGGTGAGCCGTGCTCGAGCTCGAAGGGCGACATCCCGATAGCCGAGTGGATGGACGAGTTGTATGCCAACTAGACATCCGGCAACTGCTCAACTCAATCCTTTTGGCCATAGGTTTGGATGTGGCGAGCCGAACTTGGCTTGAGAGATGAGCCCCATCATTTGATGAGCGTCAACCAAAAATTGGACATGAACCGAATGTCGCGGTCGCAGACGATTTCCTTAGGGTAACCTTGGTTCGAATCCAACCGGCGTAAAGAACCTCAGCCAACTCCGGTGCCTTGGCATGATAGCGGCAAGGCAAAAACATGGCAAACTTGGTGAGTCAGTCGATCGCCGTGAGAATCCCATCCACACCTGTCTTGTGCTTGGGGAATGGCCCGGTAATGTCCATGGCTATCGCTTCCCTTCGGCGCAAGGGAACTGGTAATGGTCGCAACTCGCCGTACGAACGATGATTGCAGGATTTGCAACGTCGGCAAACCTCGCATGACTCGCAATAGCGTGCGACGTCGTCGAGAAGGCCGTGCCACCAAGGAAACAATCGAAATCACATCAATAATCTCTATTATTGATGTGATTTCGATTGCCTCCAAGAGACCCGCCAAGTCTCATTTGCATGAAATTAAAAAATTCTTGATATTCATTATAGTATCAATCATAAATGAATATATAAATTATGATAATAGAAATCGTTATTTTAGATATTTTAGATATATATTCTTATTATAAATTTATTATAAATATATTCTTATTAATATATTATAGATATAGATAGAGATCTATATCTATATATTAATTCAATTAAATTAGAATGCACCGTGTCAAAAACCATACTAATTTCCTTGTCTGAAAAATGTTTTTTTTGAACAAAGTTAAAAGCGTTATGTTTCGTCTCCCCTCAATCGTTATACTTGGAGGCCGCAGAGTCAACCAATCGTACGATTGACTCCAAAGTGTCCGGTGGCGGGAGCGTCGTGGAACTCGCTAAGAAGCTGTGTGCGCAAGTGTAAATCTTGTGGCACATAAAGAAGATCCTTCCCTCTCGAGTGGACGAGCAAGTACCGCTCTTGGATCCAATAGTGCGATGGCGCCAGATTGGGAGAGGAGCAATTTGTGTACTTGTCGCAAAACTCTGGGTCGACTTGGTAGCCGCGGATGAAGCTGTCCCCCAAGTCGTCGTTAATCTCAAAAGTTGAGTAGACTGCGGTACAATGGTCTACACGCCGTGAAAGAGCATCCGCAAAACGGTTTGACTTGCCCGGAATGTGGTCGGGGAAAAAGTCAAACTGGTTGATGAAGGCCATCCAATGGGCAATGGTGCTATTAACCGTGTCTTGGGTCTTGTAGAAGACCAATGGATTATCCGTTACCCATCGGAACTCCCTCGACCGAGAAGAAAATGCCGCCAGCGCTTGAGCGCGTGTACGAAGGCCAATAATTCCTTCTTCCGTGCGTCGTCGATCAAGTGCACGACGGACACTTTCTTGCTGAAGTACTCGATTGGGTGCCAGTCCATGCCATCATGTTGCTCGAGGACAACACCAATGCCATAGTCGGACGCATCAGTAGTGACAAGTGTCGGCAAAAGCGGGTCGTAGATGCGCAACACTTCCGCGGATAGCAATGCGGCTTTGAGAGCCAAAAAGAAAGTCCGCGCATTGTCGTCGAAGTCGAATGGTCGGTCCTCGCATTGAAGCTTGGATAAAGGAGCCGCGATCTTCGTGTATCCCTTGATGAAGCGTTGATAGTAGCCGGCTAAGCCAAGGAAGGAACGAACATTTGTGACGTTCTTCGGCTCCGGCCACTCTTAGATGGCTTGAATCTTGTCCGACAACAGACTGATGCCCTCTGGTGTGACAAAATGGCCCAAGTATTCCAACTCTTGTTGGATAAATTCGCACTTGTCGCGGTTGGCTTCGTACTTGGCACGACGGAGCGTCTCCAACACTCGTTGAAGGTGCTCAAGATGATCCTCAAATGTCCGGCTATAAACGAGAATGTCGTCTAAGTAGACTAGTACGAACCGGTCCAACATCGCACGAAACTCGTTGGTCATTGCCGCTTGAAAGGTCGCCGGGGCATTGGTGAGGCCAAAAGGCATAACGATCCACTCAAAATGTCCGTACCGTGTCGTGAACGCGGATTTGTAGCAATCTTGCGGGTGTATCGAGATCTGGTGATAGCCCGACTTCAAGTCCAACTTCAAGAAGAATTTTGCACCGCCTAAACGCTCAAGAAGGTCGTCAATCCGCGGAAGAGGTCCCGCATTCTTGACAGTTTGTGCGTTGAGCTTGCGGTAGTCGATGCACAAGCAAAGATCCTTGTTCTTCTTCCGTACGAAGAGAATTGGTGCACCGTATGGTGAGCTACTAGGGCGGATCCAGCCCTTCTCCAACAGATCATCGAGTTGCGCGCGGAGAACCTCGCGCTCTTCCTCGCTCATGCTATAGATGCATCGTTTTGGCGGCACGACACTGACCTCAAGAATGATCTCGTGGGAGATCGGTCGATCCGGCACCACACCGGTAGGAGACTCGAAGATGTCGGTGAACTCGTCGAGCAGCCGCACCACTTGGGGGTCCGAAGACAAGTCCGTAGGTGAAGATTTTGTCGTCGCGGCAGCTCGTAGAAAACATAGGCCTATCTCGTTGGTCCGCTCGTAAGCGCAAGTGGCCCGAAAAGACTTGGCCGTTATAACTTGGCACCGGATCGAGGAGTGCGGAAGAGGAATGGTACACGGCACCTCGGCGCCGAAGGCGTCGCGAACGGTAAGTGTCCGCTGATGGAAGTTGACCGTGTGATTCGCACTGGCACGCCAAGGCATCCCCAAAATAATGTCGAAGTCCGTGTCTAAGACGTCAAACGTCACCGGTTCGCATGCATGAGGTGCGAAATAAACCAGCACAACCTTAATGCAGTGATCGAGGAGTTGTTGTGTCCGACCGTCCGCCAACTTGATCCTCGTCGGGTTTGGCTTCCTTCGAAATTGTGCGCCACCCGACCCTTTGGATAAAGGACTGGCTAATGAAATTGTGAGGCGCGCCGCTATCCAACAAAGCGCTGCAAGACGCTTGCCCAACTTAGATGCGGACATAAAGGAGCGGTGCGTTGTTATCATCGTACCACTAGATGCGAAACTCGTGGGGCACCTTGGTAACATACGCAAGGATGTCCCCCACTGCAGCTTTGTCATCCATCGGCGAAGGTGGTGGTGCATAGAAGGCTAAGTATGTGTGGAGATGGGCACATACTGCTGCGCATTGCGGTCCCGGCAAGCAGCCTGTGGCAGGGAGAGGAAGCCATGCAAAATCCTCGAACGTCAACGGGTGCAAGACCTCTATGTTGAACTCGTGCGTTGAATCCCTTGAAGAACCGCTGGAAGAAGATTCATTGTTGCTGTTGCCGGACGGAGAAGAAGCTGCACACACATCTTGTCCTTGAGCTTGAGAACCCAGCGAAGGAACGAGCCGGGCAGCATAGTCCTCATAAGAATATAAGAGAGGATTGTTAACTTCCGCATGTGCCTCGGAATGAAGAGAGGTCGCTCGCGAAGCAACCGATTCCGAAGATGTCGAGAGTGCAGCCGCATCACTCTCGGCGGTGCTCACTTTCCCGAAGGGAATTTGCCTTTGACTTGCGTGGGCCACGTTGCAGTGTCGTGTACCGCGCTGTTGCACCAAAGCCATATCGGTACTTAGTACGGATGTGGTACACGCCTTCCGAGATACCGTAATGTGTCCAAGGCTCTTGAGCCGCTGGTCCGGCCCCGGGGGATGAATTGGTGTGTGTCTTCGGTTTGCCGCATCCTCGCCCTCTGGCGGGGCGGCCACCATCACGGGCAACTGCCAATCTGTCTCCTTCATTAGAAGAGGCAGCCTCGTTTGAAGGATCGGTCGCTGTAGTTGCTGCGACCACGACCACTTTCGGCCGATGCTGACCTCTGCCCTGGCCCTCAGCAGACAAATGGCCCAAATTCTTGGCTTCGATGTTCGTCACGATGATCTGCGAGGCTTTATAAAAAAGCTGCTCACTTGTGGTGGAGCGTCTCCGCAACTTGCGTCAAGGCGTTCTGCAACGCCGGACAGCTCCTCCTGATGAAGAAGTGCTTGATAGTGACAAATGTCGACGACAAGTTGGGCGTGGATGCCAAGCGTCAGTACTCGGTAATCCAGTCCATGCTTGGCAGGTCGTTCTGATAGAACCGTTGTAGTTTCTCGGCCGTCTGAAGCTCGGGCGACTCCACTTGGAACCGCTTATGCCATGCTGCATTGAGATCAGCCCAGCTGACCTTCGTATGCAGCTCGGAGACTGCGACGTTGTGCGTGGACAACGTGTTGTCTAGCCATGCCTGGCACGCGCCCCCTGAGCGGGAGTATAAGTATGCGTGCCGGTTCGGGTTGATGACATGGTGTATGTCCAACTTCAACTCGAACTGGCGCCACCATGGGATCAGGTCTGTCTTCGTTGCATCACAGAAGATCGGCAGGCCGTCAAACTTTGGGATGCTCTCGCGAGTAGTCGCGATCGGACTGGCTGCGGTGGCACAAATCTGCTGGTCAATCCGCTGATTTGTCGCTAGAGCGCCGTCCTTGAGAGTCTCGACGTTGATTTCCAAGACATTGACGCGGTCCGTCAAGTTGGAGGGTCCGGCAGGGGTGGCTGTTGTAGGCTGCTGTTCCAGCCGGCGTACCCGGTCAAGCAGTTCGTCGATAATTCGAGCCTGCTTCCAAACCAGGGTGTCCACGCAGAGGATGTCCTCTTGCTGTGCTGCACAGGTGGCAACCAAGTCCCTCACGTGTTCGATTGTGGTTGCAAGGCCACGCACAGCAGGGGGGGCACCCTCCTCTTCAGCAGCCACTGCCCATTCCCCGGCGATCACCTCAATGTCCCCCTCGCATTCGAGGATTTTCTCTCGGCGTAGTCGACGGCGTTCGTCTGCGGCCTTCCTTGCTGCCTCAGCGTCCTCTTGTCGCTGTTGTTCAGCGAGGCGATGCTGTTCCTCTGCTTCCTCATCTTCCTTCTTAAGTGTGGATGTTGCCGCAGTTGCCTGTTGCTTGAAGTCTGCGACCATGTCCAGCATGCGGGTCTCATAGGCCTCGGTAGTCTCGCCTGGCTGCTGCTCCATGCCGCTTGTCTTTGAGAGGGTGAGCACCATGCACTGATGTGATCTGCTGCTGCGGTGACTGGTTGCTGACGTGGCACTGCTGCCGTGTCCTGCTGACGTGGCCTGCTGACATGGCAACTCACCAATGCCACCGTAGGGGGTACCCGGAGGCAGATCGAGAAGACCAGAGGGGGCAACAACATAGGTGGGGAGGGGTGGGATAAATCGCCCAGATAAGGAGCCACTAATAAAAAAAAGACAAGTTTGAACTTTGCAAAAAAAATCGAGAAAAAGAAAAAATACTCGTTTGCAAGTTCGGTAGGCCCCCAATTTCCCTTGAAGTGCGAAATTACCAATGAGAAAAAATTTCAAACTTTCAGACCGCAAATGATTTTCCGATAAAAGAATTCTGAAAATAAAGTACAAAAAAAATTTGGAATTACTCAGATGAGAGTACGCGCAGTTTGGAGAATGATAACTGCAAGAGGGATTTCCAGTACCATTTAAAAAAAAAAAAAAAAATTCAGAAAAAAATATTTCGAATTTCCAAATAATGGGAAATTGCAAAAGGAAATCGAATTTTTCGAAAAAAAAGATATTCCGGATTTTCAACAATGAAATTTCGAATTTTCAGAAGAAAAATGAAATCGGAAATTTCAGATGTTGCGCTATTGCGATTTTCCACAACAGGAATAGCGAGAAAACAAAATCCAAGAAAAGAAAACAAATTCGATTTTCGGCAGTGAGGTCAAAATCGTGATTTTGGGGGCTAACTAGTGTGCTCTAATCAATCAATCAAAACTAATCAGCTACCTAGTCCCCGCACACGTGTCAGATCAGGTTGTCCTGATTCACGTGCGGTGTTCCGATACCAACTGTTACATGCCCAGTTGGGCGACGTACATGTAAAACCAAGGATCCGCAATGTGATGAAAAGGACAGAATGGACAATGCAGTGCTAGTGAAATCTCAACAAGCAGTGCTCATCCTCATACATACAAAATGGTGTTTTTATAGCGCAGTGGAAGGTTTAGATACAAGTCCTGACTTGGCGGGGACTGGCCTCTGTCACGTAGTACAAGATAGCGAAGCAGAATGCTAGAATACTAATGACGAGCCCAATCAATGTTGCAATGCAGACTAAACATACGTCATTCTCACCAAGGTGTGAAGGGGCCTGGCGCCATACACAGGAAGAAGGCGCCAGGTCCAGACATGCACAGACGAAAAGGAGGGTATCAGACAAAGAGGAGGGGGGAGATGGGAAAGCCGTCAACACCAAGTCTCGTTACAAGTCCCATATAATCCCTCGTCAAAATGTCTGAAGCCCATGTCGAGTCTGGATCCAAATGTCACCAAGCTCTCTCTCTCTCTCTCTCTCTCTCTCTCTCTCTCT